GGTCGCCACGTGGCGCGGCAGCGGGTGTGGCTACCGGGGCGGGGACGCTACGGGCGCCGGCAGCCAGGGTTGCGGCCGCCGCGGCAGCGGCGGGGACCGTCCGGTCATAAAGGTGGTGATAAAATAAAGTGAAATATAGAGAGAAAAAACGCAGGTCGGTTGGAGACGTGCAGAGTAAAGGAATGGAGCATTACGAAGATGAACCCGCAAACAACGGAAGCATGGACAAACCCATTTTGCACGGAATGACGCTTTGCTCTCATCAGACCATCATGGCACGGTGAAGTTGTCTTGGAATTTGAGTGGGTGAAGGCACCCGCGTACTGCCAGAAGAGCGGCTGTCATCTCTTTGAGACAGACTCAGATGGCCACGTCCACATGGAGCTCGGAATGCGGGAGAATGGTATGAAAATAGCAATGGTCGATGGCCGGCACCCACATACGTGTGCACCCTCATACACTCTTCTTTAGTTGTTTGTCAAGTTTGGCAGCTTCACTGCGCAGCCAAGCGAGAAACGGGAGAGTAATAATAATATGGCCTTGCTAATCACGAAAACGTGGGGAAAAAAGCGTCCAAGCGGGGAATTGAACCCCGACCTCCCCCGGGCAGTTTGAGAATCATCAATTGATTTGGGGGTGTCCTACCGTTGGACGACCTGGACGAATACTTTCAGTGCGCAAAAATTATCCATCGTTAGCCTTTGTAACACAGAAAAATACCAACAGAACTGAGGTATACAGACTCGCTCTTGTTCACCTACGATGCCTTCTGCTTTGTAGATACATCCCTTCCCTTCACTCTTAATTTGGACAACACATGATGGTGCATAAACTCCAAAAGCAAACATGCCACTGTGTCCAAATGTGTCGCCAATTGGTACTTTGTCGTGTTTTTAAGGGCAAAACAAAGTCCACGTATCATTATAAATTATGTCTTAATCAAGTAAGCGCGTAAAAAGCGTTCAGGCAGGGAATTGAACCCCGGCCTCCCCCGATAACAGAAATTGTTTGTTGCTGATAGCTAATTCTTTGGGGTGTCCT